CTGTGCAAATCACAGCCTCAGAAAATCCACAAAGGGGTCTGTTAGAGTCAGTCTAACTTGACAGCAACGAGTGAGTTTTTAGGTCAGATGTTCCTGTGTAGTGCAAATGGTTTGCATTCTACTAGTAACCTAAACTCAACAGCACATAGTAATAAAAACAAAAGTTGAGAACCTATCCAAGTGGTACCATGGACAAAAGTTTGGTAATCTACAGTCAAAAGACCCCCTTTGGTGCAGTTCTACTGGGATCATTATGAGCTGGAATTGAATCTATGGCAACAGGCTTGGGGTTTTGGTTTGGTAGGACATATGGGAATTGAGGTTGGTACCTACAATTCCTGTTTGATCAGCTGGAAAGATGTGAATTTGCTTAAATGTGAAACAGAAAAAAGGTTTGGAAGAAAGAAGGGAAGAAAGATGCTGAGCTCCTTTTTAGACAAAGTGAAATTGAGGTACTATGGCATATGCAAGTGCAAATATTGTGCAAGTAACTGATGCTATGAATCATATATTGTGCACAGTGTTCTGAAGCAGAGATGCAGATTGGAGAGTTGTCAGTATGCAAATGGTAAGTAAAGCCATGGGAGTGGTGACATTGTTGACGTGGGAAGAGATGAGAGACAGGCTAGACAACAGGACTGAGCCTCACAGAAAACCCCAGAATAAGAGCTGGGAAGAGAAACAGGAATTACAGTAGATTTTCTACAAAAATCCTCTAACCATAATTTATATATCCTCCTACTTCAACTATTTTAGTAGAGATACTAACAGGTATGACAGTCGTAATTTTTCTTTCTCTTTTCACCTTATTAAGGTATAAATTGACAATGAATGGCAATTTTAAATAACTGAAAAATCAATAAACATTTGTAACATAAATAAAAATATAATCTATAAACAAATAAATAACCCTTCATTGCTCAATATTAATTTTGTCCATTTTAAGCTTCCTAAAACAGACCTTTTAATTATTGCTGTAATGCACCCCCTATGAGTTCTTTAACATTTTCTCATTTCCTGATTGTCTGGGCAGTTTGAGTAGATTTGCAGTGTAGTGACAGACTAAGAGTAAAGCATATTAATAAATAGATCTAATGGTCAAAAGACTACCCCTTCGTGGAAAAGATCCAAATACAGCTTTGATGTTAAATGGAGATGTACCTTGCTGGCTTTCTTATACTTTGCAAATATACTCTTTCATTTTTGTATCATTAGAAAGGGAAATGTGTTCTCTAGGGTGGTTTACTTGTACTAGGCTGGCAAATAGTGTCTGACAGCTGGCTCTCTGGAGAAAGAAAAACATGATCATTTGTATTATAAATACTAATACCATAGCCAATTTGACACTTTAAAATTTAATTCAATGTAAAACAATGAATACGATGGAATTCTGCGTCGGGCAACTCTCACAAATCAGTTCTGTTGTATGTTGGAGCTCTTGTTTTGGGAAGAGGATGTTCATCGTTCTTGCTTTTTATTATCATTATCTATAAATTTTATATTTATCAGTCGTTAAGGGTTGCAAAAATTTGTATCAACTTACAAATATGTTTTAACATTGTGTGCAGTACATATCCTAGGAATAAGATGTATACTAACAACACAAAAAAGTAGACTCTTGTAATCTATTACTGGACCAAGAATGCTCTATGTTGGGAGAAACAGGAAAATAAAGGCAAATACAGACACCTATCTATGGAAACTAGCATGCATGGTACGCACTGAAATGGTGTCCCAGTGCAGATATCTGACATCACTCTTCTTTTAGATAACTGTACAATTAAACCCATTCAAAAACACAAATCAAGCTTCTTTAATATTTTACTCAACATAATATGGCATGACATGAATATTATAGCTGCACCTTCCTTGCTTTCACTAATAATAACTGGTCTTTGATAAGCTCAGAGTAATTATTTTTGTTTTCTCTCTTTTTTTACAAAACAAGGTTAAGCACTCTGCCTTGACCCACGGAGGCTCTCACATATGAAAGTATTAGTTTTACCCTGCTGTATGGTCTCTCGTAGATGGTGGTAAAAACTAGGATGACTAATAGAAACTTTTTTAGAGGCACCCAGGGCACATGCCATTCCAGTACACATGCCATTTAGGTACACCTGAGTGTATGTGACCGTTTCAGAATGAGAGGAGTGAATTCTGCAAAATGTGGAGATTCTACTTTAAGGATAATAGATTTATTAACCTGTAGTCAGTTTATAGATCTTGATCCCTTTTCTTCAAACTGAGGACTGACAGTATGAGTGATATACCCATTAATATCTTAATCTTAGCATTGTAACTTCTATATATTCATAATTTCTAAAATTGTCTTGGATCTGAGACCAAAATGGCTAAGAGTAATTTTTAATCTAATTCCTCATATAATGAACCAAAGAAAAGATAAGCTTCTTTCAATGCTAGTTTATCAATATAATCCATGTTCTAATATAATTCAGAAAAGAAAACATTCATCTCTATCAAATAAGCAAAGTGTGTTTGATTTTTCCCCCCCTGGCAAAGTAAAAGGTTAATAACACACTGCACTAATAAATAGTATATGTGGAAAAATGGCAGCGAAATAACTCCTTATATCTTTATAAAATTTAATACTGAGAAAATGAGAACTGAGGCACAGGGACTTGTACACCAATTGTTCATAGCAGCGTTATTCACCATCGCAACATCGTGGAAATAGCCCAGATGTCCAACCACAAATGAAAAGATTGAGAAATTATGGTACAGTCACACAATGGAATGCTACGCAGCATGCAGGAGCAATGATTTTGTAAATTATTACCTAACTTGGGAGAGACTGGAGAGCATTATGCTGAGTGAAATAACTCAGTCTCTCAAGGACTCATACTGTATAAAACCACTTTTGTAGAATGAGTATGAGGATCCAAGTGCGGGGGGGCGAGGAGGGTAGAAGCAGAGGGATGAGGCTGTGCAGGGAGAGTGGGGGTTAATCATGGGGTTGACAATTTGATGGGTTGAGGGGTGAGGGAAAGTGGAAGAATCTGTTGTGGAAAACAATGTATTTGGATTTTCTAAATAAACTAGTACAATAATAAAAAAATAGTGTGCTGATGTATAGTACTGTCAGCTCACTAAATAATTACTACTAAAACCTACTTTAAAAATATGTTCAACACTAGGCAGTGGTGGGATCATAACTGTTATTATGAACAGTACACCTTTTTACATTCCAAAGGGAAATAAAAATTTCTGATAGCATTAGAAAAGAATGTACTTATTTATATTTTGCTCAGATATACAAATTCCCTTTACCCTTCCATTAAGAATTTCACAACTCTATTGTGCAGAAATGAAAACACCTTTTCAAACAATCTGCATTTAGGCTGAGTGCATAATGTTTACTATAAAAATATTACAAGTCCAATAAAAAGCATACTGATAGATTACAAAATCTGCTTCTTTAAAAGGTCTATGTTTATATAAATACACAATACTTTTTAATGATCTCTGGCAAGGATTTGCTTTTAGACTGATCTGATTACAGAAATGGAAGTTCAGTGTTTTCCACTGAAGTCCAGTGTTTTCTTGGTTAGAATAGGAAGACATAGAACTCATGGGATAATTTTTTTAAAAAATACGATTGGGTAAAAACTTTACAAAGTGCCATAATAAGAGTTCTATAATAAATCTGCTAAGAAAGATAAAATGCTTCTGTTCCTCATTTGCTTATGTTTTACTTAGTTAATGATCTTAATGACGTCTTCTTTTGTCTACAAAGTCTTTGAGAGAAGAGTGTGAAGGTTCTCTAGCAAAATCCAAAGCATTACTAAAGTTATTTGTTACTTTAACAGTAAAATTAAAGAAGTGGATACTTTAATATAAGCCTCAAAAGTGCTAAATTGAGGCATATTAGTAACAAAGGTAGCCAATTACTTACATTTCTTTAGTTTAAGAGTAGTATTATTACAATCGAGTGCTAAATTTTACATCTGGTAAGCATTGGTATTATACATTAATGCCATTTTTTGCCAGATGGACTTGAAAAAATTAGCTATTTTTTTTTTCTTAAAAGGATACTAAAATATTTAACCCAAAACATAAATACATATTTTGGGGGAAAATATTTATGTTAAGATTGGAAATACATTGTTTTAAATTTAAAATGATTGGTATAAAAGAATATAAAATAGTAAATTTCTGGAAATAATACACTGAAAATGTTTCTCTTGGAAAAAATGTGCAGCTTGTTGGATTTAAAAAAATACAACACTACAGAGGGCAGCCAACTACAAATGAGACTCATATTTAAACAATTCAGAAAAAGTAATTAGCACCAAAATTCTCAAAACCAAAATTACACATTGAAATTCTTTCAGGCTCAAGTTTTACCTTACAAAAAAAGTTCTGTTTAGCTTGGGAAGTCTCCCCAGAAAAAATATATTTTCCATTTGGAAACACAGTAGCTTTACTTTTGCTACAACATTAAGGTAATGCACAATAATGACAATTTCCCTTGTTTTTGACTGAGTATGGACAATGGAAATCTAAGCATTTCTCAGATAATACAAACTTATTTGGTGGAAATGGGAAGCAACCAAGAGCAGTTCTCCAATTAAAACTTATTCTGAGCTCTTTGTTTGAGCCATTTTCTTCTATAATGTTTTATTAGAAGTCTTTAGAAGAATTCTTTTCCTGGACTAAAATAGAATTTTCTTTATCTTCTTGGCTTGCTTCTGGTCATGTTATTTAAGATTTGGGTCAGTGGTGTCTGAAAGTGGGCATATACCACAATAATGAAACCAGTATTTTGAGTTAGTTCCAAATTGTATATTCAGCTCTATAATAACAAAAAAGTTACGCTTAATTTTAAACAATATCCATTTACAAATTTAATTTAAAAATAGCTAACATACAATTATAAACAAGACAAAATTTTTCAGCTTCCATACAGTGAAATATACAAGTTTGCCAATTATGTAATAATGGGTACCAAATGTCAAAACAAAAATTCATTTGGCCATGTTTCACTGTTGTACATAAATAATGACAAGGCAAAGAACAGCAACTAGTCCAAGGGCTTGCAGGCCAAGGAACCACAGCATAGCCCAAAAGAAAAGGACTATGACTGGTTCCACAATCCGTTCTCCAAAATACAACCTTGTGAAGCCCATGTTGATTAGACTTTTGTTTAGTCCACCAAAAAGTGTTCCCATCCTTTGGTAGTCATCTCCAACAGGCTCACCAGGGTGGTTTTGTGACTCTTTAAGATCCTTTGAAAAGAAAACAAGACAGAAGAAAATGAAAATGAAAGACTGGCATTTAAGAAATAATAATTAATTTACATTTCTTTACCTCCCCAAATTAATTCTATAGATACTTGCTAACGTAATGAGAATGTTCCTTTTGATTGATATTTCTATGGTATCTGGGTCTACCTTTCAAGAACATGAAAAGTAATTTCTGTGGAACCAATATTGACTGGAACCTTAACTACCAAAACACTCATTTACAATGAAAAATGTTGATTCATTTCCATATATTTTCCATTTTTTTAGGATAGCATGAAGCTGACTACTTAAATTAAGAGTAATGAGTTTGGTATTTCCTTGCCAGTGATCATGATTTCTGAACTACTATTTCTACTATTAATTCGTTTTATGAGGGAGCCCTTGTAGTCCAATGATTAAGACTTCAGATAGTGCAAATTTGGCAGTTTGTACTCATCAGCCACTTCACGGAGAAAGAAGGGACAATCTGCTTTCATAAAAATCACATCCCAATGAAGGAGTTTTTCTTTTGCTTTTCAAGGAGAGGAGCAAATGGGGGTGAGAGGGATGGAGGGGGGGGCGGGGAGAAAAGTGCAATAATGAATGAATGGAATTCCAAAATCTCTGTAGGTGTTCATTGAAATGAAAAATAAATAAGCTAATTAAAAAAAAAAACAACAATCACATCCCAGTAGCTGTGGCAAAGTTTAGCAGGGCACCAAGTAATAAAGGTTGGAGTGGATCTGGCAAGATAGGGACTCTTATATATTGTTGGTGGGATTATAGAATGTTTCAACCATTCTGGAAGGCAGTTTGACACTTCCTCAAAAAGCTGAACATAGACATTCCATATGACCAAGCTGTTCCACTGCTTGGAAAATACTCTGAGAAAATTAGAACAGAGTCAGAAACAGAGATTTGTACACCAGTGTTCATAGCAGCATTATTTACCATCTCAAGAACATAGGAATAGCCCAAATGTCCAACCACAAAGGAATGGATTGAGAAATTATGGTACATTCACATGATGGAATGTACACGAAGCAGCAAGCAGGAGCAATGATTTTGCAAATTACTACCTAACATTGGAGGGACTGGAGAGACTAATCCAGTCTCATAAAGGCAAATACTCTACTAAGGCCATTATCGTAGAATGAGTACGAGGATCCAAGGAGGGCAGGGGGGTTTAATCATAGGGTCACACAATTTGATGTGTGGAGGGAGGGGTGAGTAAAGGAAAAAGGAAAGATCCGGTGTGAAAAACAATGTATACAGACTTTCTAAGTAAACCATTATAAAAAAAAAAAAAAGAAAGAAAAAAAGAAAAGAAAAGAAAAATCCCACCCTTGGAGTCCCTATAAGGCAGTTCTACTCTGTCCCATAGGGTGATTATGAACTGGAATTGATTAAACAGCAATGTTTTCTTTATTTGTTTGTTTTTTCTCTTTTATGAGGCAAGCCCTATGAGTGCTTTGTCCTGGTAAATCAGCTCTTTATTTTTGTTCACTCCTTTGGCACGCAGACTTTAAGGGATCTAGCTTCAGCTGACTGAAGCATGTCTTGTTTGTGACTGTTCAGCAATCCTCAGCCACTGCTGCTGTGATCTTTCAGTCCCTCCTTTAGCCCAGTCTCTCTTCATTGATTCAACAAATATTTACTTAGTGTCTACCTTGTCTCAGATAAACCCTTTTAATTTGCTGTATTTACTAGGCATTTTTTTTTAAAGAAAAACATTTGCAATGTTCAATGTCTAGAGTTTATTGCTATAGAAACCATATGGAAATTTCTACACATACACTATGGTTCTGAAGCTGAATTTTTGAACCTGTCTGGAGTGAGTAGTGAAAGCTAGTTCAAAACACAGACAACAGCCTAGGCCGTTGCATAATACCTTGTCCAATTTCTATAAGTATCTTAAATGTTCCTTATTAATCTTGAAAGGGGAAACAAATAGGTTACAAATAGGCAAATTTTTCCCATCAAAGGTCATTGAGAAACCAGTGTGTCAGAAAATGGTACATTTACACAGTGTACATAATAAAGAATACTTAGTATTTCTATTATCTTCCAACCTCATTAGAATTAAGGCCACCAGACCAGATATTAATTTTACTCTTTAGAGCATTTCTGGCTTCCTGTTTGACTGCATCAGTAGAGGGTTATCAGAGAGACAATGCTTGGCTGGAGAAAGAAGGAATTTACTCTTTCTTGTTTGCTTTCTGTGGGCTTCTTGATATTCTCAGTTTCACTCTAGCAAAAATTCTGGCATTTGTGTAATCCTCAAGTAGAAACTGACCCATAGATGACCCTCTGGTGGGTTTTTAGAGATAGTTAATCACATGGGAGGAGGCTGCCCATCAGTACTTGTCTTTATTTGGGGTTACTGAACACTCACAGGCCCAATCTTATAAGCCCTCTTGATACACCAGCTCCAAAAATGTGTTCGTGTTCCTCAGGTATACGATTTCCAAGTCTGTGGGGTCTGTTCTCTGAGTTGTGTTCTCACAGGACTGTCTCAGCTCCAGTGAGCATCTCCTCCATTTTAGAAATTCCACCAGTTGTCCTTGCTACCCAGTCCTAGGAAGGACTGTCTTCTTAATTGCCCATGGACTTCTGCTCCAGGCCTCCAGACCTCTAATTCAGAAGGAACTCTGTTGTCTTTCTAATTGCCTGCAGATCAGAATTCCTGCCTGGGCCCTTCAGGCCTTGTGCCAAGCACCAGGACTACAAAGTGAGCTAAGCCACTGCCTTAGCAAATACCCCATCTAGGATCCCATCCTGCTGTGCCACCATGGGTCTCAACTCAGGCCAGAAAAGGGTGTCCTGTGCTATGGCATTTGTATGCCTGATTTTCTTTAGTTTGATGTTAGAGGTACCACACCTATCTGACAGTTCATTATATTGGGAATGTTATGCATATTGTAATATTGTATGCATATTACTTTGTATCTTAGGAGTGTATATTGCTTGTTTATAATTTGTTCTTATTAGTACAGCAATTGTCTGTCACTCTGCTGTTTGGTGTAACTTGTGGGTTGCTGTGATGCTGGAGATACATCCCTATATGTATGATATGCTAGTGAGGATTTTTAAACTTTAGTACATATTACAATTACTAGGAAGACTCGCTAAAAAGAATGCTGGGCCCATCAACTTGAGTTTTTTATTTAATTATCCTGGAGTGAAGCTTGGAGTCTGAAAACGTACATTTCTAACAAGTTTCCATCCCTGCTACCACCCAAAAGCTAAATCTATTTCCATGCCTCAATTCCAACTCAGTTACCCATGTGTTAGAGAGGGGAGCTTCTCTGTTGTTTTTATAGAAGTCCATTGCTAGGCCTTCATTTTGTGTAGCTGCTGCGTAGACTCAGATTTCGAACTGCTAATGTTTAAGCGACTCATATTCATACTCACACTCCTTACTCACAGAGGCCCCATCAAGTTTCTGAGGCTGTAACTTTTAAGTACAAGAGATCTCCCAGCTTTTTTCTCATGAGGTAGCTGTTAACTGTGAACCACGGGGATTCTTTTTCAGATTAGTAATTGAAAGCAAACTGTTTGTACCACCTAGGGGTCTACTAAGTTCCCAAGTTGATGTTAATGATGTTTGGTGACCATTCTGAAAATAACTGCCTTAGTGGTCCCTTTCCATTCTTCAATATTTAGTTAACAATTCTTTATGTTAAGCTTTATTAAAACAACTGGTATAGTTTCTCTTTCTTTAAAGGTCTTGGAACTGTACAGTCACAGAAGCAAAGCTATGTTACGTGAGTGACATGATTTGTAATTCTAATTTACTAACTCTAAGTTCTCTTTGAAGGTGCTCTTGTGCAGTTGGGAGCATGTCAGGCTGCTAATCAAGGAGCTGAGTGGTTGGAACCCATGGATGACTCTACAGGAGGAAGACAGGCAGTCTTCTGTTAGATTGACAGCAAATGGAGAACCCCTGTGAGTTGGGATCAACTTGAAGACAATGCAGTTGGAGAAGTTCTCTTCGAAACCATGATTCAAACCAATGATAATTTACTGAGCCCCTATCAGCTCCTGTTGTTGTTTTCCCACTGATTCATAATCTACTCTTAGCTGCGCCTCCAGCAGGGTTTCAGAGGCAGTAAATCATAGGGGAGGAAGCTGTCCATCTTTCTCCCATGGAGCCTGATGGATTTAAACTGTGTGCTTTTGGACTGATAGCACAACTTCTTCCCTTTAAGTCATAGCTTTTTAAAAAAAGCTTTTAATCACAGAGTTTTACATAATAACATTAAATACCTTATGAATAGTGCAAAGGAGAGCCAATATAATTAACTGAAAAAGGAAGCATTAAAAAAAAATCTGTTAATAAAAGCCAATGAATTTGTGGAAATTTTAGGGCACTCTTAGAACACACTTATTGATTTCTTTAGCAGAATCCAAAGCATGATTGTCATCAGGAAATAAATAAAATTCTTATTTAAAAGCCAGTTTATATAAAAATATTAATTATATAATATACCATATAATACTATAATGTAAATTTTATTAAAATGTTATTTACACATACAATGTAAAATGTGCAACATACAATGTGTAAAATGTTATCTACACATACAATTTAAAATAAATGCCAAAGAGGAATGAGAGAGTATTTTTAAAATGGACTTTCTGTCTGATATCATCAGAGAAAATAATTTTCAATATACTTTAAAAAATGGGACTTCCTCATATAACAGAGATTTATGTCAGGTGTTATTGTTATAACCGAATACCTTGAAGGAATGACTGAAGGGGTCTATGGTCACGACGTCATAGTCCTGGGGGACAAAAAGGTAAATTGGCCTTTTTGTCTAAAAATGCAAAATTTTCCATTCTTATTTGGTGAGTCTTGATTGAGGTTTGAAAGCTTTTGAATGGCCATCTCTGGTGTAACTATTAGTCTCTCTCTAGCCAGAGTAAAGAAAATAGCCAGAGCAAAGAAAATAAAACACAGGTGGAAACAGTCCAAAGGATTAACTTGACTCTCGGTC